TCTGTTTGAGAAAATAATCTCCTAAAAGAATCTCTCCTCAGTAATAACGAACCCCGAAGAGATCAAGCAAGAGATAACAAGACATTTCAAACAACTCTTGAACAATATACTGCCCACAGAAGAAAATCTAAACAAATGGAGACAGGACTTCCTTTCAAAAGCGGAGATTCTGAACAACTGGTATAACACATACATCCAAGAGATCTCTCTTATAGAATTAAAAGAAGTAATCAAAAAAGCCAAAACAGAATTAGCACCCAGAAAATCTCAGATAAACTATGTAACACTTAAAACATATTGGCCCCTCAGGCCTCTCCAGGCTAACAACACTCTTCAACTGGATCTTCCAAACAGGAGAAATCCCAAAGAAATGGCAATACAACCTCATCTATCTAATTCCAAAAACCTCAAACTGGCAGTATGACCTTAACTTGACCAGACCCATAGCACTACTGGAGACCATCAAGAAAGTATTTACAAAGATCATCAACAATAGACTTGTACAAGTACTAACAACATATCAGATCCTATCATCTCTTAACTGAGCAGGACTTCCAGAAGGAGGGATACACGAATCAATAATGATTATTAACATATTATGGAAAAAGCAAGAGAGACAAGAAAAGAACTCTGGATGCTCAGCCAAGATATTAGCAAGGCCTATGACTCAATAGAGCACACAACACTCAACAGGGCAATAAACTACATCAAGATTCCACATTCTATTCAAGAGATAATTATGAGTTGCATTATAAGACGAACCATTCAAGTAATCACACAGCATAGACTCATTGAACCCTTCCAGATTGAACAAGGAATAGATCAAGATAACACAATATCCTCTCTTCTCTGGCACATCTACTATGACCCACTTATTATTAGGATAGAAAAATCAAAGTTGGGCTACAAAATGGATTCAAAAATACCCACCACGTACTTCGGACAATGAAACAAACACATTATACACATATCATCAGTTTCATATATGGATGACACAACATGGTTTATAAACTCAAAACAAAATATGCAGAAAATTGCAAACCTGATAGACAGCTACATAAATATCGCAGGCTTAAGGATCAATCTCAACAAATCAACACTTTTGACCATCAACAATATTCAACAACCCACTATTCAATTTTAAGCAAAACCAATTTTGGCACAGAGCAAAGAAATAGCAATCAGAATCTTGGACATATGGATAACAAGCTCAGGATTCAAAAGACATCAAAAATAACTAATAAAGAATAAAACATCTTTCATGATGAGATGACTACAATTCAAAAAAATCACAAATAAACAATGCAGATACATTATCAACCAAGTGCTAACCTCAGCACTAGAATATCTAATTCAGGACACAATCCTGTCCCAACAAGAATGCAATGCAATTAATAGCAAAATTATAGCACTCTTCAAACACAAATTAGCTCTCCCAACAATGGCAATCAATAATGAAATCCACCTCCACACAGGATAGAAAATCTTCAACATATATGACAGACAAGTTAAACTAATAACCATGAGATGGCTCCAGGATCTCAACAAGACAAACATCACTGGACAAATTACAAGAACAAGGTTACAGCACCTACAGAACTGGGCATAGACCATCAAAAACATCCTGCAGGCTGAATACACTATTACAATGGCATCACAGAAAAACTTAACAGCACAAATCCTAAATATATTAAAACTAAATAATCTCCAGATAAGGGTGACAGCAGCATACAAACTGACATCACCTCTATCTCAAAACAACTGGATACCAATTGAAAAACACATGTCATACAAATGGTATGACAAAAACAAAACCAACCTAAGAAAACACAAACTTTTCTACCTGGAACAAATAATGAATACCACCAACTCACATTGCATAATATGAACACATTTCAAAACCAGGACAGGAGCAAAATATATAGGACGCAAACTCAACTGGTTTGAGAAAATTATTCAATAACAAAAGTATAACAATATCTTTCTTTCTAGAATAACAATAAACACATTCGTCATCTGTAACCTGGCAAACCAAGAGAATATTCGGAAATACAGATACATTTCTATTATCATTAATCAAAGCATATACATAAAAAAGGTAAACAAATGGACAAGGGTTCTGGAAAACTTATTCAGAGCACAATACTTTATACAAATAACAAATAACTCACCTATTGAAAAATGCAAAGGATGCAATATAGATATAGGAGAGAAAACAAACACATGCACCAGAAGTATTCAACTAAAAGAAGCAATTACACTTTTAGTCAAAACAACAAAAACCAGTTTGAAATCTTTCAACCAAATAATAGAAAACCTCTCACAAATACAAACCTTGCCAAACTCAATTAGACAGATGCACATGTGAAGCAACTCAACACCAGAGGAGGGCAATGTGGTCCACATAGAAATCAACAACAGCATTAACATATTAACAACAAATACATCAAACCTAAAGACACTAAAACTGCAGAGGCCAATATTACAAGAACTAGAACATATCCAAGAACAAATACAAGGTTGGAGATTAACAGAGGTATACACAGACAGATCCATGGAAAAATATGAGAACAATCAAGTAAAAATGGAAGTAGGAGGTATAATCATCAACAGAGAAACACAGGAAGAAATAGAATTCAAAGACAGATGCGAAGGTTTCCCATCATCCATAAGAGCAGAGTTAATGGCAATACTGATAGCAATAACACTCCTCAATTCAAAAACAGAAGCAACTATATTTACAGACAGCCAGTATGCAATTCAGGCGATACAATCAGAAACTACAGTGAAACAAAAGGTGGCAAAAGAAACAAATATACTCACAACAATTTTCATCCAGGAGAAGATCAGAGATATAATAGCAACAACATTAAAAAAGATCAAAGCATATACAAGAGAAAAATACAATAATCATGCAGACTAGCTAGTCAAGGAAGGCAACAAGCTTGACCATACATATATTATAGGTATAAACTGTCAATACATAAAAGGAATAATAGGAATACTACAATAGAATGGTAAAGACCTGGACATAGGAACCAATGGATTCATGAAGTAATGGCAAAACAGCAAGTGGATCAATATATGAGCAACACAAAGGAGACATAAAGCATGGCTAAACATAGGTGATGAGAAAATAATAGATTGGAGAAGGATATAGGCAAGCCTGTCACCATCAAAGATTACAAGCTTTTACATCAATTAACAAGATTATAATAATAGAGGGTTCAGATACAAACTACTTAATGAAGAGCTCCCCACCAAGAACAAGTTAAATGAGAGAAGGCTAGACATATATAAGGATAAAATATATCCTTGGTGTAACATATGGGAAACCATAGAACACATGTTTAGTGAACACTATAGGGATGAGATTAGAACTACATACTTACAAATACTAAAAGAAGAAATAGCAAGTAAAATAAAAACACAAGAAAGAAGAAGAAATTGGAGTGAACAACTTGAATTTATCATCAACAACTCATAAAGAACCATTAAATACATAATCAAGGAAATCTACAAAAAGGATCTCACTAAGCTGGTGGAACAAATCAATGGGAAAAAAATCAAAAATATACTGAAAATAATCACAAACAGAATGACAGAGAAACTCTGAAAACTTTGGATCCACAGATATAAGAGATTTCAGCAATGGAAAAAGAAGAAAACATAAACAGAAGAGAAAAAAGGAAAAAAAAAACGAAGATTTCAAGTTGATATCCAAGCTACACACACAAGGCAGCACAGGTCACTACTCGAAAGAATGGAAGAAGCAAGAAGACTACAAGAAAAACTCTTAGAGAATTGGCTAAACTGGAGAAAAAACATAATAAATTTCAATTTCTTTTATTATTTATACAATAATAACACTAACGGAGCCTTGGCACATTAGCCTTGACATATACCGCAAGGTAAGTCAATAGCAACAAGCCGATATGAAGTTAAATCGATATAACAAAACATGTATTTAGAATAGTTTATAGATAGTAAGTCTTGTAATAAGAAATACACATGTAAATTAAATAAAGTATGTTGGGCAAGGCCTCGTTAATTGAAAAAAAAAATTTTTTTAATTTAATTTAAATTTTTTATTTAACAATATTTAATATAATATATTTTTTATTTTTTATTAATATTTATTTAATTTCAAACTTAAAAATAAGATATAATAAAAAAATATTTTGAAAATCTTAAATTATATATTTTAAAAAAATAATTAAAAATCAAATTTGTTATAAAATAAATTAATTATAACAAAAATCTATCAAAATTATATATATATTATATATCAGATTCAAGTTCAAATTAAACATATCAAATTTATTTATTAAAACAATTCTTTAATATAATTTTTCAAAAATTTTTCAGAAATAACTTATCTTTTGAAAGTAATACTAAATAGTATAAAAGATTTTAATATTATTAAAACATATTGTTAAAAGGTAAACTAAATATACCAAGTAATTAAAAAATATAAGAGAAATATAAAAAAAATATTTAAAAATTTATAATAAAAACTTTGGAAATTCTAAAAATTACAAACTTTTATTTCATAATGTATACCTTGTAATATACAGATTAATAATGTTTATCTACAAAAAAAAAACTTTATTTTAATATTTTTATTTTTAATATACGTATATACAATATATATATATATTAAATATTTAATTTCTTTAGAAAAAAACAATTTTTTTATGCATACAGTATGTTTATTATGTTACTAAAATAAAAATTATAATATAATTTTTTTAATTTTTTATAAATCAAAAATCTTACAAACCTTGTTAACAATGCTAATATAAATTAATAGTATAGTATGCGTTAAAAACGAATTGAAAAACATCTTCATTTATCAGGTGTGATTTACAGTGCTCAAAAACTTGTGTACCATTCATTTGAAATTCGTGTAATCTTCATGTTATAAGCACAAAAACTTTGCGCTAGGATGTTACAGTATTTTTAATCACGGAGGATTTTTTATGAGATGCGTCATATAGTCAGTCGGCAAATGATAAGAGAGCAACAGCCTTTTATTCCTGATACATTATCTCCTCAACCTGGTAAGCTAACTTGAGGCATTTCATATAACCATTGCACAGTATCATAATCTATTGATATTTAGTAGTGAACCCCGCAAGATGGTTAGAAGGTACGTTCCAATTAATTATAATAGGCAATTTTCCACGATTCTGATGGAATTCATTGTATTTTTTCTTAAAAGATTCTATAAGGGCAGGTCATATTAGATACTTCGAATACAGCCAATTCAAAATTATTAAAAAAATTGGAAGGGGAGGTTTTGGTACAGTGAATTATGCAGAATGGAAAGCTTGCGATCGAGATGTTGCCCTAAAAAGCTTAAATGCTGATGATTCACAATTTGACGAATCATCATTGAAAGAATTTGTAAATGAGGTAACTTTTTAGAATTAAAAAAAAGTATTTTTTAATGATACATAACACCTATCTCTATATCTGTTGATTTTTGAATAAAATTTAGCTTAGACTTCTTCGAGATGTGGATTCTCATCCAAATATTAATCGATTCTTTGGTGTAACACAAGGTCTCTGCTTATTATTGATCTCTAGTTTGTTTTATTAAAAAAAATGCAATGCATGTTAAAATAAATTTCTTATAAACAGATCCTGTAAAGAAGAATTATATTATGGTTTTGCAGTATGCTAATGGAGGAAACTTGCGTGACCATTTGCATGCCAATAAGGATACACTTCGATGGCCAGATAAACACCAAATGTCTTTGGAAATTTCAAAGGGATTACGTTACTTACATTCCACAGGGATTATTCATAAGGATTTGGTAATTATCATCTCATATTGTATTAATTCGCGTTTTAATTTTTTAAACTATCAATAATTTCTAGTTTATTTACATAATTAGCATTCAAAAAATATATTAGTGCATAATGGTGAGATGATGATCGCTGATCTAGGCCTCTCCAAATACGAGAACTCAACGTCAGAATCTAATCACAAAGGAATGCCTATATACGTTGATCCTCAATGTTTTATTGATTCATATTTTAAGAGAAATAAAAAATCAGATATATATAGCCTTGGAGTTTTAATGTGGGAAATATCTAGTTGTCGAATTCCTTATGGGTCTCTCTCTCCATGCCCCGGAGTACCACAAGATTTTATTGATCTTTATGATAGGTGTTTGAAAGAGAATCCGGATGACCGTCCAAACATCGAGGAAGTAGTAGAAATACTAAAAAACATCTCGACTCAGGAGAATGAGCTCTCTACTAGCCCACTAGTAATCTTTGATGGAGAATTAAAAGAAAGTCCTTTTAATAGCTATCAGATCTTCGATCAGACAGATAACGTATCAATACCGCAGCCATCACTTACAACTCAATCATCTCATACTACTTATTTTACCACGAGATCATCAATCGTTCAGTCGGTGCACTCGATTCCGGCTTCTGCGTTACTTGATGAGATAACGGATTTGTATATTGAAGACATAACGATTGGCTCCGATATAACAAAAAATAATCTGGAACGATGGTTAGACAATCACAAAGAAAACTTGGAGAACGTTTCACACTATCTCATCCTTAATCAAGACGTCCAACATTGGGAGGTCATGGTTGGAGAATTTTTCAGAAGAGGAATAGGATTCAAAATAGATAGGAAAGAATCACTCGTATGGTTTCAGAAAGCGAGTGATATGGATGACGCGTACGGACATTACAATGTGGGGTGTTATTATCATGAATATGGTATATGCGGGGAAGCTTTAAAGTATTTTGAACTTGCAGCCAAAAAAGGATTAGTTGGCAGCGCAAAATATATGCTAGGAATAATGTTGAACAATGGTTACGGCACCGATAAAGATATACGTGGGGCTTTTAATCTCTTCAAGGAAGCTGCGGAATGTGGCCATGTTCCAGCACAATATTGGTTAGCGGTTTTTTATTCGAAAGGAACTGGAACAGAAAAAAATCGAATATTGGCTTCGAACTGGTTTAAGAAGTGTGTAGATAACGGAGGATATGAAGATGCTGAAAAATTTTTGTAAACATCTTATACATTACGCATTGTTAGAAAGGTTTCTGACTTCATCCTCTTTCAACTAATATTTATTTATGCGATATTCTTTCTTGATTGAATGCTCATGATGTTAATTTAATCATTGTAAATTACTCATTTGTAATTATAATACACGATACCTTAGTAAAGGAATACATTTTTGAAAAATATTAATTCATTCCAACGTTCGAAATCATTAATTTTAAAACTACATCAGTTTGTTTTTAGTTACGGCAAAGACTTAGCATCCGATTGTACATATACTTTTTCCGTCAAATATAACGAGATCGGATATCCATTATTTCCATAATATCAGATGTTTTAAATGATTTCCTTAATTACTGTATATTAAGATATATACTGTATACCCTATATACAGATATATTAAATAAAAGTTTGTTAATTTATTTCCTGTATATATTTATTCATCTAGCAAAAGGTGACACTAAAATTACCTGTGTTCAACTTATTCTTTAACATACTGTATACTTGCAAAATGAATCTGAAATGGTGAGGAGGTTAAATTTGTCGATAAAAATGCACGAAATGTAGTGGGCCAGAGAGCATTAGCGAGTCAAATAAATTAATTTATTATCATACGTATCTATACTGATACAGAGATCGCTTTTCCTAAAATTATGTTATTGTATACTATGAAAATACCAATTCATCCCTTCAATATAAATATAAAGATTCTTTTTTTTAAAAGAAAGCAAAAACCTCAAATGCTAATTTCATGCTAATTTTTATAATAAAATTGTTTTTTCTAGAAATTTTACATTGTTAAAAATAATTTTACAAGGCAAAAAAAAAAAAAAAAGAAAAAAAATATGAATGAATAAATGAATTCCAAAAGGTACAGTACATCAAATTATTTACTTATAAAAAAATTATATTTACTCAAATGAAACAAATACAAAATAGAAATTGACGGTCATTCCTCAATAAATTTGACATCACACGCAACGACAAATCTATCGTAATTTCGATAGGATTTCCATCGTGTATGTCAATTTTCTGAGTGGATGACTGTATAAGGGTCAAAGTTCTCATAAGTGAATAAAGTGTAAAGAACTATCACTCACAGTATGATGTAAAAGACCCGATAACATTCCTGAATTCGAAAAGCGAGGTTAAAAACATAGAAACAAAAAAAATTAAAGTTCATTCACTATTCGCACTTACCTAATGTTTACATAGATCAGTGATCTTTTTCTCAGCGTCCTCATAACCCCCACTGTCGACACACTTCCTAAACCACTCCAAAGCCAATGGTTCATTTTGTTTCGTTCCGGTTCCTTCAAGATAAAAAACTGCCAACCAATATTGTGCTGGTACGTATCCATTTTCTGCTGCCTCTTTAAAAAGCGCAAACGCCGTGGATACATCTTTATCGGTGCCGTAACCATTGTTCTTCATTATTCCTAACATATACTTGGCCTTACTGAGTAATCCTTTTTTAACTGCAAGTTCAAAGTACTCCGTCGCTTGTTCATAATTTCCAAAGTCTCGGTAGTAACAATATCCTACATTATAATGTCCGTATATATCACCCTTTTCACTTGCCCTTTTAAAACAATCGAGGGATTCTTTTTTATTCATTTCAGTTCCAAATCCCCTTTCGAAAAATTTTCCAACCATGACCTCTCCGTGTTGAATGACATTTTTATTTATAATGAGATAATGTAAAATGTTTTCCAAATTCTCCTTATGATCTACTATCCACCGATCAAACTTATTTTTGGTTATTATGGAGCCAATTTTTATTTGTTCAATATACAACCCCGTTATCTCATCAAGCAACACAGAGGCTTGAGCCGAATGCTCGGATAGACTAGTCGTGCTCTCCGTGTTCTCTTCTGATGAGCTCGATGTAGTAGCATCGTAAAATGTTTCAAATGTTATGTTTGAGTTATCGGAAGATGAATGCGAATTCATGGTCGATACTGCACTGTTTGAAACATTCAAGTCCACTTCACTATGATCCATTGACGAAGTGTATAGTGTTTGCGGTACCGATACATTATCTGACTGATCATATAAATTTCCATTGCTGGGAGGGCTTTCTCTTATTTCCAATTTCTCTTCAAGGATTTTCACTGGAACAGGTAAAGACGCTGTGTCTTGAGAAATGCTTTCCAATATATTTATTACTTCCTCAATGTCTGGACGATCTTCTGGATTTTCTTCCCAACATCTATCATAAAGTTTAACAAAATCTTGAGGTATTCCTGTACACGGGTATAGAGACCCGTAAGGTATTCGACAACTTGATATCTCCCACATCAGGATTCCAAGACTAAATATATCTGATTTTTTACTTCTTTTAAATCCCGGTGTGATAAAACACTGTGGATCAACATAGCCAGCCATTCCTAAATGCATTGATTTTGATACAACCGAATTCTCGTCTAACCGTTTCGAAAGACCAAGATCGGCAATCATCATCCTCCCATTATGTACTAATATATTTTTCGAATGCTAACCACAAATAAATTAGAATCTATCAATATTAAATATCAATAAAATAAATAAGATGATAGTCACCAGATCCTTATGGATAATTTTCGCCTGATGTAAGCAACGTAACCCCTTGGCAATTTCCAAGCACATTCGATATTTATCCGACCACCCAAGTGTATGCTTGTGGGTCTTCAAATAATCACGCAAATTTCCTTCATTTGCGTATTGTAAAACCATTATATATTTTTGACTTATGGGATCTGTGAAGAATATAGGGTATGAATTTTACGTAAATAATAATGAACTATATTTTTCTATCAAGCAAAATCGTCGTGAATCGCGAATAGACCTTTTGTTACCCCATAAAATCGGTTGATATTTGGATGAAATGATACCTTTCGAAGCAGATCAAGCTAGTGGATATATGGAAAATAGGTCAATTTAAAATAGTTGTAAGGAATTTTAAAATAATTATCTCAACTTTACCTCATTAACGAATTCTTTTAAGGATTCTTCGTTGATTTGTGGTTCGTCGGTATTTAAACTTTTTAGCGCAACCTCCTGATCGGTATTTTTCCATTCCGCATACTCTACAGTACCATAACCACCTTTTCCGATTTGTTTGATAACCTTGAACTCGCTGTAATCAAAATAAATTATGTGACCCGCTTTTATGGAATCTTTTAAGAACATATATTCATGGTTATTGATGACAAATAATGTTTATAAAGTCTAAATGTAAAGTCCAGTTAATTACCTTCCAACCACGTACTTGCGGAACCTAAATTTCGAAGCATTAATATGTAAGTTATAAACTATAGTTGTTATAAATGTCAAACGCTGTCAATTTTCCTCGATCTACCTGGTTTAGAAATTAAGTACGTACTTTGAGGTTGTTGAGAAGACCACGATGGTACTAACAAACTAACTACTCTTTTGGTCCATCGCTTTTCTGGTGCCATGGCCATTCATCAAGTCATAGATCGGAAAACAAGTGTCCGCGAGATCACCAAAATGGTCTAATACAATAAGTTACAAAGATCACATGAAAGTAGATCTGTATATTTTGATAATTTGTGTAATGTTGTCATTCGCCATTATTTGAGCATTAATTAGATAAGTTTAAAAACTCTTATTTATTACTGATTTAATTTTTTTCAAAGAAGTATTTTTTTTCCTTTCTTTTAAAATATAATATTTTATAAGCTTAAAAATTTACATTAAAATAAAATTTTTGATTAAATAGTAATTGAATTTAAAAGTTTTTTTTATTTTTTAATTGTATAAAAAAATATTTGTAACAATTTTTCTTTTTTCTTTATACATTTCCTGGCCAAAAGTTTAGGTTCACTTAACAAAATTCAAATTATTGTCATTAATTTATAATATTAATAATTATATATTAAATTATCAACTTAAAATTTTTTTTTATAATTTTCTTATAATAATATAATATAATATATATTTTATATATAAATTATATAATCAAATCTGATTATACTAATCCAATTTATACCAAATTTATTTTATAATAAATAAAATATTTTATTATCTATTTATAATGAATTTTTATAATATTATATTATATAACAGTTCTGGCAAATTATTATTAAAATTAATAATAAAAATATATTATTTATATCAATTTAACCAATCAAATCAAATCAAATTAATAATTATAAAAAAATTTTTTTTAAAAATTATACTTTAATTAAAAAAAACATATGTCTTAAAAAAAACAATATTCTAAAATAAAAAATAAAGAACTTGTATAAGAGTTTCAATATGATAAATCAACTATTTCTGATATTTTCAAAGAATTGACAAGATAGTTAGCTATTGAATCAGAATCTATTTAAGCAAGTATTAAAAAAAATTGACCACTCAAATAACCAAACTTAGAAGAAGTATTAGTACTTAAATACAAAATATATTAGCAGTTAATTAAAATCTTATGGAAGAAATAATTAAAACAAAAGCTAAATAGTTTGCAAATTATTTTGAAATTGAAAAATTTGAAGCTTCAAATAGTTAATTAAAAGCTTTTAAAATTTGGAATTATATTCAATTTTATACTAAACATAATAAAGTAGCAAGTGTACCTTTGGAAATTTTAAATAATAGTCAATAAAATATTTAAAATATTTTAAGTTCTTATTAATTATAAGATATTTGAGATATGAATAAAACTGGTTTATTTTAAAAAATGAAGTCAAATAAATCATTAACACAAGGTCAAATTATTGATACAAAAAAAGACAAATTACAAATAATTATTTTATGTATATACAATGTAACAGATATCAAAAAATTACCTGCAACTGTTATTTATTATTATAAGAATTCTCATTCAATGCACCAACTCAATTATAATTTTTTTTCAGTATAGTATTATTAAAATTACATGGCTTGAATGCAAATTTCAATATTTAATAATATTCTTAAAAAATTAGATAATCAAATATGAATACAAAATTATAATATTATTCTTTTTTTGAATAATGCTCCAGTTCATATAATAAATATAATACTTATTAATATACATATAGAATTTCTTTTATCAAATATTATATCTTATTTACAACCTTGCAATGCTAAAGTTATTAATTCATTTAAATATCATTATAACTAAATTTTTTTACAAAATTGGATTAATGCTTATAATATTGCTAATATAAATAATTTATTATTATAAATTTAAATTTTATATTAATTTTTTTTTTTTTTTTAGATACAAACAAATCTTCAAGTGAATTTACAATTTTAAATGCAATTTATTTTATTGCTGATGCTTGGGTTAATATTTCTTAAGATGTTATTGTTAATTGCTAGAAAAAAACCATGATTCTTCTATCTTTTCAATCTTAATATCTGAAATAATACTATTATAACTACTAAAGCTCTTAATAATGAACAACACAAAGCTGAAAATAAACTTGGCTATTTAATTGATTTATTTGACTACAATGATTCAATGAATCCTGCTGGTAAAATTATTTATATATACTTGTATATTTAATAATTTATTTTCTATTCTTTTTTATTTAACATATATTTAATTATCTAGAATTTATACAAGCCAATAATAATCTTCATATAGAATTATTATTAATTGATAAGGAAATCATATAACAAATAATTATATCATTTTCTGAACAGATCAAAAATCCATCTTCTCTACCTTTACCTTTATTTTCTATTACTATTCCTAAAACTGCTACTATTTTTTTACATACATTTAATTTTCTTTATCAAAAAAATAACCCTATTGAGATTTTTGCAGCTGAAGTTAGTATAATTAAATATTTATCTAATAAAATCAGTTAAATCAACAGTGTCAAAGTCATATTTATCAATATTTTTCTTAATTTTAATTAACTGGTATATATACAACTAATTTTATTTAATTAAATAACTTAAATTATTAATATAAATTATATTATATATAGTATATAGTATTCAAATAATTATTTTTTGAGTAATAGAATCTAAAAAGAAATAAGAATAAAGAATAAATTTCTAATAGAATAGAAGGAATAAAGCATTTTTATAAATAAGAGGATAAATGCAAGATAGATGAGTGTCAATATAATTTTATTGTTATTAAATAAGTTTTTTTTTTTTCCGATAGATAAACATCATTTCTTTATTTAATTTGTATATTCAAAAAGTATACATCATGAAAGAAACAACATCTCTTATATGCAATAGTAGCAAGTTTAGTACTAACTTGCCTACACTATCTATACCTAGCTAATATCAAAAAAAAATTTTAAAACAATATTGTATGCTAAATATAGCTAAGGGTAGTAGCTATACTTACTTACTCAGAAAATTTTAATAGGATATAATGAATAAAAAGTAAAACAAAAATGAAATGAAAAAGAAAATATGCTAAACAAGTATAGATATAATTATAAAATAAAGGAGATCATTGAACACACTACTCTAGTAGTTTCACTTCTATGAAACATATGTTGATATACTTTCCAAATGGTCAGGCTACTCTCCAAAATATATAATAGTATTGATGATATAGATTCTTGATAGCTAGTAATACATGGTGGTAGTAGTTGATTGGTAATAATATTAGAAATAATTTTGTTATTATTTGCATAGTGGTTGATTGGATAATGTGTAAGTAATTGATATGAGCCACTTCCAGACTACTGTTGATATAAGCCACTTCTAGGCTGTTGTTTAAAAAGAGCAAAAATATTGAAAAGATTTTTTGATAATCATTTGGACTTATTAATTGTTGTTTTATAATAGTAATATGTTGTTGTTGATTTTTGATTAATATTTGATAGGACATGATTATTGTTTTGGTATTTATTAATAGCAAAAAGTCATGTGGTTATATAGATTTCTATTTTTGAAGTTGTTTATATTGATCTTTAGTAAATGTGATAAATGTGTTTTGATATTTTGTAAGATATGATTGGTTAGAACTAGAGTGTTGATCAGTTACCAGGGTAAGCTGATTATGGTTTTTTGATAAAAAGTTTTTAAAAAAGATTTTTGAATTTTTTGTGGTGCAGTATAGTGTGTGTTGGATAATATTGAAAGTTATGTTTTGTATATATTGCTAGTTCCCCAAGCCAACAATATATATAATTTTGATATAAAGTTTTAAGTTTTGTGTTAAAAGAAAACCCTTTGACAAAAGAAAAGAAGTATTTAAAAGTATTTGTATATTGATAAAAAGTGTTTTGATAAGAAGTGAAAATAGGAAAAGCCCCAAGGAAAATTTATAAAGAAATAACTGTTATGAGCCTTTCCTTATATAATTCAAGAAGAGAACAAGGTTCCCAAACTTGCTTCTTCCTGACCAGAGGTTTCATCTCGATGCACCAGTATATTTCTTTGGTTTTCTTGAGGCTTTTGTAGTGAAGACTAGAAAGATATAAAGGACTTATAGGTATTGGAAAGTAAAAGAGATATTTTTTTCTTTAAATTTTAAAAAGTTATTATAAAAGGAAATTTTTAAGAAAAATGTTGTGTATGGAAAAGAGTTTTTTTTTTTTTTATTATTGTTATTAAATAAGTTATAATCTGTAATAAATAATCATTATTAATAATAAAATTATAATATATACTTGTCTCAAGATAAATGTTAAATTTACTAATTGAATTTTTATTCAGTATATGATTGAGACAATATATATTTTGAATAATTATATATTACTCTAAACATTGTAACAGTGTAACAGTGAGTCTGCCACTTATTCTAGCAGAGATTTGCATAACCATTATTGGATAAGTAAATAAAAAGATAATTTGAGATGTATTTGTATTTGACCAAGTTTTTATTAATTTTCTTACTAATTTTTTCTCTCACTTCCTTATATTTTATATTTATTTTGTACTTATATTTTATATTATTAGGGGGTGACTATGCTATTAGAGAAAATAATGATTATATTACATAATTTTTTTCACAATTATTCTATTTTCCTCTATCATTAAATAATCATACACTGCCAATTAAACAGACTTTTTGCAATATTTTTCACAATTATCAATTATGTGACAATATTTATATGCAAACTTATCCTGTTACAATTTTCCATACATAAGTATTAAAATAATTATGTCAGTCTTTTGTAATGTCATTTCATAATACAAATATTGATAGGTCTTCACTAACTTCTTTTCTTTTTTTCTTTTTTTTTGAGAGGGGTTTCCCCTCATAGGTAAGCATCATTTCTTTATTTGATATTGTATATAACATGGTATACATCGTGAAAGAAACA